ACTCTCATGTATTTGTCAACAGAGTTGTTGCGTTTTTTCTTTCTGTGTGCTAACAATTTTGGCGGTGTTTCCGTATTGTAGCATTTCTGCAAACAATTTCTGTTACCAAGGTCTGCGCCGAAATTGTCAAAAACAGAAATTGTTTGCTGGGTTATTATGCGTCTTCAACTCATTCAAAACTATATTCTCGCACATTTGAAACTCTAGCTATCAAACTATATTTTCGACATTGATAAAAAACTAGAATGCGGTAAACTACGATTAAAAGAATACTATAAAAACAAGTTTGGAACTATTGACCGTCTAGTTGTCGAAATAAAGCCGCGGAAAGATTATAATATTTTTTGACATAATTAGACAAGTAACAGCGGCAACAATGTCGCCTTTCGCACAACGTACTTAGATCTTGACACACCGTTTTTTGCAATTTTCTTGCCTCTGTAATACTTAAAATTTTTAAGTGTTTTTTTTTTAATATTTATATTAAAATTGAAGTCATTTTAATAGTTTTTGACAGCTAAGCAAACTGACAGATTTGGTTAGTAGATGCGCGCGACGTTGTAAATTGCCGTTCGATGTGTACAGCGTGGACAGTCGCTACTAAAAGTTTACCGCATTTAAAAAAACTAAAATTGTTTAAAGAAATTTTGAGCATAATAAAACTATTTATTTATTTCTACACTAATGACATGTTGATAAAATAGAGTCTGAAATATTTGTACGACGTGTGAATTGAGTTTTGAGAATACTTTTCAAGCGTAAAATTAAACTTTTGAATAAGATTGTCGCGCGATAACTACTTTAAAGATTTATATTTATTACGCATATTAAAGAATTTATTACGTATATTAGAGAATTTAGAGATTTTATGTAGCAAAAAATCATTTTCAGCTATTTTTCATTTAGAAAGAAAACTTGAGTTTGTTTGTACATGTCGCGCTATAAATATTGATTATGTAAATGCCACTAGGAAGGATGGATCGAAGGCGCTCGGTTGAAATCAACGCAGCCCGCGCGATTTTGTTTGCGAACCAATCTACTTGCAATTACCTCGCGTGTCACCAATTTGCCCCGAAGTATCTTGGCATCGGCGTGTCGCAACAGCGACAGATGCGCGATCGAAAAGAGCAATAATAAGACGGCCAGTTTCGAGTTTCGAATGCGCGACGTCCGTACGACAATTCCTCCGCACATAACTACCGCAATCGCTATGGACGCATATACTGTCAGCAGACGAGCGGGCGCTTTGATCAATATTTCCCCGTGCCGTGACTTGTGTAACGAGCATTAAATTGATTATTTTTGCATAAAACTACCTGGCATCGTTGTTCATAACGTCGGCGTCAACTATCGAGCGCGATACTGTCATCAAAAAACGAAAAGAAAATAAAACCAGAAGTGCGTTCGAACTCGAAAAGTAGATTTTGCGGATGATACTACGATGGCATCTTCTCGTGTTTTTCATTTCTGATTGAAATAAAGACGAGTGTTTTTTTTGTCACTGAAGATAGTTACGTATTGCATTTTTAAATCGAATACGTGCGCTAATTGCTCGTATGTCCCTGACATTTGCGTGCATGCTGTTGCGCATCATATAGCATATACATGTGCAATGTGTCGCGTTCTTGCCTAGTCGAATTGATTCTTTGCGATGCAGTAAAAAAATAATAGTTGAAAAATTGTATAGTATGTATACTATAACGTATATATAAGTATGTATATATAATTATGATTGTGTTCTTTTAAAAAAATAGAAATAAAACTCTTTTGTAAAGAAATATTTTACAAAATTATTATAGTATTATATTTAATTTTTTCCTGTTTGTGGCGTCTTTTTTATTTAAGTTTTTACTTCATACAGTTAAATATATAGTTTGTTACTTCATACAGTTAAATATATACTAACTATATATAGTTATATATAGTTAGTATATATTTTGTAGTTATTTTGTGCCAAGTTTTAAAACGGTTGATTAAAAAAGGTATATTGAGGTGTTGCCGGTGCAAAAAAAATTTCTTTATCCGTTTTTTGAATTACTTTTCTATCATAAATTTAAAGTACATAGTTTGTAATTATTTCGTGCCAAGTTTCAAAACAGTATTTATTTAAAAAAGTTATATCGATGGTATTGCCGTTGCAAAACTACGACGCCGCGATGGACCCGCCACAGTCGCTCCCACCATTGCCGGAGTCTGATTTTTCTGCAAACTTTTGTTACGTCCTGTAGACCCTACTACCTTCTCGCGACGTGTCAACGACGGGATTTGATATTACTGAAACGCAGCCGCGCGATACCGGCGCATGACCGAATATCAATGCCCGATAAAATTTAGAAAACACTTCAAATATTTGGGAAAATCTTTTTTTCTCTTGCCCCTTTTCCTCTTTCGAACGGAAACCTACATTCGGACGAAACCAGGGAAATCCGGAGAATAACAAAAGAACGGATGACCTATTTGACAAGAATTTGATTGGTACTGAGTTTTCCGAATCTCGCGGATAAAAAGAAGATCTCAGGCCTTCTCGGATAGAGAGAACAGATTTTCTTTGAGTGCGGTTTGTTAGTCGGTGAATGAATCGAACGAGTAAAGCAAGTAAGTGAATCAAATGCCAAGATCAAATGACAAAAGTACAAACGGAACAGCACCCCGAGAAGCTCATCCGAGACTGCTGCCGCCGCTCTACTATTGCCGCTACACACCGCTGCCGCATATAGTCTCATCGGAGTAGTAAGCGCTAAGAATAAATCTGTGTCTCACGCCGGGATCAAAATTTTAGAAAATAACTATAAGGACAGTTGCTCCCTTGATTAAGACTGAGTTAACGCCATATATATAATACTTCTATATTGCTAGTACGGTGCCGACCTGAAGTCCAAATGTTACGGTGCAGACAATATAGTAGCCTCTCTCTCCAGCTGCTTTGTGCGCATGCGGTGAACATTCAAGCACGTTTGGGCATTCTCTTTCTCGCGTTCTTTCCAATGCTTTGTCTCGCTCGCACTCGCTTAGTAGACGCGCCTGCGCATAATGACGCTCGACTATCTATGCCCATATTTGGACTTCGTGCGTCTCTCTTTCTCGGGCCTCGTGCCTCTCATTGCGAAGATACGCAACTAGCAATACAGGAGTATTATATACATATATGGGTAACGCTGATACGGATCGCGGACGATTTGCGAGAGTCGTCGAGTGGTTCTCAGCGCGCGCTCTCGTGTAATTGAATTTAATTAAAATGAGCGCCTCAGTGCGCTTCGCGCGCTTACGATAGCTGCGTTCCAAGTTACCCATGAAGCGCATAGACTGCACAGAAAAGCTGCGTTCCGTTTCACGCATATGCACGCATTTATCTATACTATACGTGACGTGTACTATAGATAAATGCGCGCATATGCGTGAAACGGAACAGCCTAGCTTCATACAATATTAATATAAATATTAATATTAAATATATATTTTTTTAAACGAGACTTTTACAATATACATTCTTTCTATATACCGGAGACATTAATAGATCCATCTATTAAACACATATAAACATATACACATGTTATTTATCAATGTTAAATATTAAGGGTGCTTTCCAACTACGTACATAAGCGACACTGTGTAACACAGTGTCCATTAATGTGAGAAAGAGCATATCAATGTATCTCACTCACACTAGTGGACACAGTGTTACACAGTGGTCTAGTTTCCACCGAAGCATTAATTCACACCTAATGCGACGTAGAATCAAATTTAAGTCGATGGAAACCTGTCAAATTGCGCTGATTTCGCTTCTGCTTCGATCTATAAGTACTCTACTTCCAATGGAAACGGAACACTAAATTTAATCCGTACCGGAGTGAAACCGAATTGAGGGTTTCGGTGGAAACTAGACCAGTGTCATCTGTGTACGTAGTTGGAAAGCACCCTAAGGCCCGGTTTCACAATTGAGGGCGATGTCCCATTGAGCGGAAATATATAGCGGAACGGAATGTGCGGAACCAGCTCGACCAATCATAGCCATTCCGTTTTCTTTCCTTCGCTTTTTCTATGGTTACGATTGGTCGAGCTGGTTCCGCACATTCCGTTCCGCTATAGATTTCCGCTCAATGGGACATCGCCCTGACGGTTAACTCAAATTAACGGAAACCCAACTTGCTGAACTCGGCGTAACGCATCTTTTCTTCCTAAACATGAACTGTGATTGGTTAGCGAAGATTTGACAAAGAAGATTGAACGCGTTAAACCGAGCTCAGCAAGTCGAACTTCGATTAATTCGAGTTAACCGCGAATTGTGAAACCGGGTCTAAGTAAATGGCCAATACTTTTACGTTTTGAGAAGAAAATAGGAAAGGAAGAGCAGTTACATTATCGACACGACGTAGTTGTGGACATCTAATTGCTACTAGTTAGTTCGTACGCTCGTTGGCGCTACGAGCAACCGCCCCGCTTGCCCCACGATCCCCGCGCAAATTCCGCGATTCAATGGGTGTGTTTAGCCGAAGTTAGCGCTACGTAGCGCTACGTAGCGCTAGCTTCGTCTAAACACACCCAATGACGCGCTGTGTACATATCCCATATATATAATACGTCTATCAGAGAGAAATCTGAGAGCGGCCATCCTATTGTAATTTTTTACGACGGTTTCAGCCGCTGGTTTTAGCCGTATTTTCACAAAAGTGGAACTCAAAGGCCGTTCTACAGTAAACGCAAGTAAAAGATCTCGTGGAATTGACCAATTGCAGAGTCAAATCAGCCAATCGACCAACGTGATTGATCAGTGTATATATATATATATATATATATATAATATATATAGAAGGAAAATACATATATATATCTGTGATAAAAACAAAGATTACTTCAAAGCTTTAAAATCTAATTTTATTTTTCAAATTAATAAAAGCAATTACACGTGTTACACTCTGTTCAATAAAAAAAGTATCATCAGATTAATGTATATAACTTTTGCGTTATACAAATGTTATAAAATCTGACACAAAGTTTGAAAAAGTGAAAGATATAAAACAGTCTAGTTTTCCTTGAATCCACCATAAAAAAAAACACGTCCAAGAGAATGTAAACGTAAAAAACAACTTTCAAAAAAGTAGAATAAAATAAAATCTTAAAAAAAATAATTTAAAAATAAGATAATAATCTGTATTTAAAATACAGCAATAATTGTTAAGTTTTTCTGGCTGTTATTTCATGTTTAAAATAATTTGTTCTTCCTTAACTTACACACATAGCACTTTAGATGTATTTGAAGTAATTTCTACATCATTAATATCAGTATTAAGAATACTGACACTAACAGACTTACAAGTATCTATTAAAATTCTTATGTCATTATCACTTAGGTAACTAAATATTTGTTCACTACACTCAAGTGGTAATTCAGGAAAGTTACAGAAAAAGTAGAAAATTTTAGTGCCTTGTTCGAGCAACTCTTTCTTTTTCATACCTTTTCTGAACTGATTTTTTATCATGCTAGAGTATATTGGAAATTTTGTTTTATACTCGTCTGATCTTAAAACCTGCACTACATTTTCATTTCTCATGTATATTACTAGATTTGTATCTTTTATCAAGATATCGTAAAATGATATGTTAGTATTACTAATTTTCTCATTCTTCATGATTGCTACTTCTTTTTCACATTTATCCTGTAACTCACTTCTTTCATAATTCCTGCTCATTGATAATAATTGTTCACTTACGAATAAATTTGCAGCTTTTATCTTAACTATATGCTGTATAAGACACTCACCAATTTCTTCACGATAAAAGCGACCAGAAAAGGCACAATAATCGTTATGTGATAAAGCATTAATGTTAGCACCTCTGTCTAACAACAATGCAACAACTTCTACATTTACTTTTACAACAGCAAGACACAGTGGTGTAACACCTGGTGCAAAAGAAGAGATATATGTCGAATTAACATAAAACTCCATGTTTTAAAAGATGTTCATCAATCTGTAAATATCTTTTCTCAGCTACAATATAAAGTTATACCTGACTCATCACTAGCATTAACGTTAGCACCATGATCTAATAGTAATTCAGCAATTTTCATATTATCAAATTTAATCGCATGATAAAGCGGAGTTGTACCATCCCGAGTTTCAGCATTAACATTAGCACCTCTGTCCAAAAGCATCTGTACACCACTTACATGTCTGTTTTCAGCAGTGAGACACAGTGGTGTAATACCTGAAAAGGAAGAGATACATGTAAAATTAACTCTCCAATTAATGTTCAAAAAGATGTTCATCAATCTGTAAATATCTTTTCTCAGCTACAATATAAAATTATACCTGACTTATCACAGGCATTAACGTTAGCTCCATGATTTAAAAGTAATTCAGCAATTTCTAATTTCTCATATTGAATTGCATAGTGAAGCGGAGATGTGCCATCCAGAG